TGGGAGCTAGGTAAGTCTGAAGTGAATGAGGCAATAGACGTTACCAGTTTAATATTGAACAAACTTTATGGATAACAACTTCTTTTATTTCGTGACGTTTCGATACAGATTCTTGTACCGTTCCTGCTTGACAACGGTGCAAGAATCTGTATCGAAACGTCGCACTCACGAAATAAAAGAAGTTATTATCCATAAAGTTTGTTCAATATTGTTCGACCCAATTTCTAATATGCCACTCAAAGAAGTTTACCATTTTTGCGAACCCCACAACCACGGGCAGAAACACGATCTGGAGATGGATAAGTTGGGATGACACGTCTCTGGAACGCAAAACTCTACACAGCGCATTGCATTGCCTTTACCATGGACCTGTCAATGTATGTTTGATAAGAGATACAAATATTGAGAAATATAAAAGTATGAAATCGATATATCGCATCTGTCATTCTAATCAAAGACACAATGGCTACAGTACTAGGATTAGACAGAAAATACACAATAAATAATTTGATTTTACCTTGTCAAATAGCATGAATATCTCATCTCGTGACTTGAGAGATGTTGACATTTTAACTTTACCAATGAAAACATAACTCATAAAAATACCACGTTCGTCAGGTCAGAAGATGAGGATTAAGACGAATACAAAGGGTAGGGCCGGGGATGTTGCGGTTATTTGTAACTGACAATAGTGAAGCGATGAATTAAACTTATTTGTGAGTAGGTTAAACTTCCCAACAATATTATTTTAGTTTAGTATGAAAATCACAACGTACCCGCTTGGCAGTTCAACTGTTAGGTCCATCACTTGATGGTCTGTATTGTTTACAGGCTACCGTTGCATGGCAGAAGTACTGCCGGGTCAGGCTACGGACAGACAATTGGTATACGAACTGTATGAGTGACGGGGGTTACCGGAAAGACACATTTACACCATTTAAGCGAAGTTTTTTTCCACGATACGTTCATAAAAGTTTCAGAGGTATTTTGCTTTATATGCCCGATGTAATCTGTTTCGGCAAAGACTGGTTATTTTATTAACCTTTCATGTTGAAATGACAAAATTTGAATAAATTTCAAATCCCAATTTGAATAAATCTGAACGTGTATAAGATTCGTGAGTCTTATAGAGAAATAGAGAATGAAATCTTTGTCTTTACCTGCCCTACTCTTAATAACCGGGGAATTCTGTATATACCAAAAAAGTACTTAAGTAATCAACTAGATATTACATTCTCTTCTTTTATGGCCTCTAGAAATAATACCGATATTTCACACCAGTCGTTATGTTTAAAACATGCAACAAGCTTAAGATATAACGTATTGAAAAATATTGTATATCCAAATTGAGTGAGTGAGTGAGTTTAGTTTTACGCCGCACTCAGCAATATTCCAGCTATATGGCGGCGGTCTGTAAATAATCGAGTCTGGACCAGACAATCCAGTGATCAACAGCATGAGCATCGATCTGAGCAATTGGGAACCGATGGCATGTGTCCACCAAGTCAGCGAGCCTGACCACCCGATCCCGTTAGTCGCCTCTAACGACAAGCACGGGTTACTGAAGATCAATATTCTAACCCGGACCTTCACGGGTCATATCCAAATTGAAGTAATACTGCATGTAACATCTGATTGTGTGAGTTACTGTATATTTTGCTTACTCTGTATGTGGGTCGGAGGCCTACAATACAATAAACTTCTTCTTATTCTTCTACATATTGTACCCGAGTGTGTTGAACAATGCGTCGCCATGAATGTACATTATACGTTTAAGTCTACAGAGTTTAGGTTGAGCACCCTTGTCTCCATTTCTCAGGGATAAATTTGTAGCTAAACGTGATCATCTAAGGCAGAAATAAAATCACATTTAGAAATTGAGTTATTTAACGAAGGATAGTGGGCATTCTGACAAACAGTGTATGTATTTGCGTCCCATCTTCAAACGCGCTCAACTTTATTGAACGGAGATTCGGTTTAACAATTATTTGTTTAGTCATGTCAGATGGAGGATTAATTTCGATATTCCTTTTAAACATGGTGTCAGTATATATCTTCGTGGATCTGTCGCGCCTCTGTCATTTGGCATGCTTTTGACTTGTTACCCCTTTCATGTTTTGTTTCGTCAAGACAGTTTATACTTCTACCCGAATCTTAACTGCACCAAACCATTTCCGTTTCTGATACAAACGACCCTTTTAAAACCTGACATTAAAAGTATAATCTACCGACGTTAATGTAGAGCATATAAGTTCATGGAACGCGGAAACATTCACCTTTCGTTTTGGTGGCTGTTGTCTGTGCGTGTATTGTAAGAACTGTATCCATATCACTTATTCGCAAATACTCGAATATATAACTCTTCCAACATTTCGTTGTGTAGGTTTAGTAAACACCACGACATCGATGTGACATCGATCGAGAAAGAGAGCGGATGGAAACACAGCGTTAGTTTCTTTAAGTTGGCGTATGTCAGTTTTGCATTTAACTTACAGCGGAACAATTTCTACTCTAACTTGTCATTTGGCGGTACGAGATTGGGAATATTTATCACTAAATCGACATCTGGGCCTGTCAAAATTATTATTATAATGTAGCAATCTTTTCCGAATTCGAAAAGCGCTGATGCTAAGAACAATAACATTAGTATGAACAATGATATATGAATAATATGTTACAAAGGAGTGTTTATGATGACAACATGTTGTACATCCAGCGGAGTAGGAACCCGCTTGTTAATAGTTTTACAATTTTGACGTTGGGGTTCATGTGATTTTACCTATTTAAATTTCACCATTTAATATATTCAAATATAACTGTTTTCGTGACAAGTTTGTTCTGACGCTATAAAAGTGAATAAAAACCAACTCAATGCCTTCGTTGCTGAACTGTAAGACCACTGGTGTGCGTCCTGTGTGATAAATTGATATGCGTTCCCTTGGCTTAAACACCTCCTACACCACACAACAGTCGTGAACATATTGACTATCCTTTCCGATGGTCCGCGTACATAACATTGAAGAAAAATAAATTGTGTATTAACTCACAAAGCTCCTTTAAGAAGTTAATTACTTACTAAAATATGTATTTAATGGACCAGTTGATACACTGATTAAGCGAGTGAGTGAGTGAGTGAGTTGAAGTTAACGTCACATCAGTACTACGATCGTGACGAGGCCAAGGAACCTGTATTCACACTAATAATTCTTAACTATTTTTGCCGATGTTATATTACTTTTAATTCATAATTTTACACGCTTTCTTTCCAGCCGATGTTGCAGAAAGTTGTTATAAAGTTTTGGACGGGCGTCAGACTCAGAAGTCAAAGGCAAACTTCTTTGTCATCAAATACTCTCCTTAAGTAGACGATATCTAAAATCTTTCTAGATGATCAAACATTGTCCTATTTACAAACATTGTCCTATTAAAATTATTCAAATTTGAATATATGATGTGATTACGGGTCCACCGGAGAGTAAGTAATGCTTTATCACTCAATGGATCATATAGTCATTAAGTTGATACATGATATGACAATGGATCATATAGTCATTAAGTAAACGTTGATACATGATAAGACAATGGATACAGTGATTACTAAGTTGCTTTATCATTGCACATGAAACATCTTTACAGCAACCGTCTCTAATCAGCCTAGATTATTACTCTTCGATCTTACAGACTTTAATATTTCTTACGAATTTCGTTTGTTATCTTTTCAGAGGTGTCGTTAATTTAAAAAAAGGAAGAAACATAAACACCTATCAGACACATCAAACAAACTAAACTGATCCCGAAAATCTCAGACACGTAAAGAGGTATTCATTTGAAAATGAATGTTATATTTCATTCCTACTGTCGGTAATGTCAAAACGTAATACCTATCCTCCATGATGTCGTGGACACATGGCAACGGGACATTCTGTGCATTTAATTGCATTTGAAAAACATTTTCTTAATAATTGCCTTTAAAGTTATATTTGACACACACAAACACGTTTTTGTTTTTTCAAGCATGAGTGTTGAATTCTATTCTTTAAAAACATAATAAGAAGGTAAAAATTACAGGAGTGTGTAGAAAACTAGAAACGCATTTATGAACATATAGAAATATTGAACAAACTATCTAATATGATGTTTTTCTCATTTACTGAAAGCAAAAATGAAAGGAGAGTTCGGTATTTTCTGAAACAGATTTTTAATATCGTCCTACCTGTTTTGTCCACTTAAACGTATTAAAAACATAGTCTGTAATCCGTAGTAATTCATACCGCGCACACTTCTCTGTTTTCAATAATCATAAAATTGTTTCATTTTGCCAAATATCGGCGAGATCAGTTCCATGATTTATGTATTTCATTAGAGTGAGATTTGTTGCAGGTAGCGGTTATGTCCTCGACCCACGGACATATTGCTGCTGGCGGCATATGCTAGCCCCTCCCCCGGGCTCGGGTTCCCTCGGAAATGGATTACCCCGTTACTGACCTAGTAATTACACGCTCGCGGTCCAGACTCAGGGCAAAATCTCCATCTCAACACAGAAGAAACATCGTGGAAATTATCGCGCTAATAGTACAATAGAGATACACCATATGTTAGCGGAAACCGCATGTAAACATCTAAGACAAGGCAGTTCCGTGGTGTTCCGTCTTAGCTCCGCCCCTTTTAAGAGATAGACGGAAGGACTAGAGTGAGATGGGGCAGCTACCTGTCAACTTGACTTATTATACCAATGCGACTGCGCAGACGCACGCTCTGAGACTAATGAACCAATGAGAATCGTTGATATTAACACCTATCTAATACGCGCTTATAACGATTTCAGTGCTATTGGCAGCTAGCATTTGGTAATTGACTAGTGACCTGTCTGTTCATTAAAGTAATTACAAGTGAAGTATTTGACTTTTAAGCCTGCGAATCTGTACGGAGGATCGAAAAGGTTTGTATCAGACCTAACTTGTCAACAGCCATCATTGTGGAAGGAGAAGCAAGCAGTCACCATGTTGTCGTCTTTTCTGGCAAACACTTACAACTACCAGCACCCAGACAACTCGCACCTTTTCTTCCCAGCGCCGCTCAACGTCCCCCAGTTCTCATACGGTAGACAACCCACATTTCCCCCTTCGTCGACACCATCCACATCAACGACACCAACGACACTGACAACATCATCATCCCCATCAGAAGCCTGCAGCATGGAGGTGAAGCAAGAAGCCGAGGAGGAAGCCATCCCCGTGGCAAACACGTCCTCCGCCACCATAAAGTTCTCCATAGACAATATTCTGGGTCTGAGATCGGAGTCCGACAAGGGGGACAGTGCCAATGGTGATGTTCCACAACAACCTATGTGTGGTGACGAAGACGAAGCAGACGACAACCAAGGAGTTCTGGATGAAGAGTATCCAAGATTTCCCTGGCTTCAGTGTACCCGCTACAAGCCACCAAAATTGCCAAGTAAGACTATTAACCATTTCTCAGTGAATTATAATCAGGTTTTTCAAGTTATCATCTTTAGACCCTCTCACAAGTCTTGTCACAGATGTAGGAATATCACACTGTCCTGAACCAATATGGTTTAATACGTGTCCAATAAGTGGCAAAAATATTCCTAGAAGCCAGTCAGTCAATTCTCTTTGCGATTGCGACAAATGCCATTAAATTGGTTTAATAGACAAAAACTGACATCAGTAAGCATCCAGCATCCGATGATGAAGAGGCGGTGCATGTTCCTCGAACGTTTCCTTATTTTATACCACCTTGTGTTGGTGTGTCGCGCTCGGTTGCCGTCTTTTAATTCATGTATAATCACTATTTCTTAGGATAGTCCTTCTCACGCTAAGCTTTACGCGAACACCTAGTTTTGTCGCTATTTGATAGTGATTTCATATAATATGAAACATCAACGCCCAAGAATAATCAGCTACCTGCCGAAACAGATTCCGTTAGGAGTAAGAGGCAAAACAGTGGTTTTACATATAAATGGATCACTCAAAATCAGTGATGACACCAGGTGTTCCCGAAAAGGGTCAGCCTGTCCTATCCTAATAATGAATGCTTTTGATATGTCAGGACTCTAATTATAGTGGATACTTCTTTATTTTCTTTATTTATATTTTTAAAATTTATTATTGTGGAAAGGACTTCCCCCTTGTATTTAGAATTCAAGAAAATCTTCCTACATTACTGAGAACTTATTACTTTTAAAGAAAAATCACATTTTACAAATCTTTATAAATGAATTTTGTTCATATGCTTCATACTGACAAATTCGGCGACCTTTTGTATGTGGCATTTGAAATACGTTATTGCCAATCGACATTCAACGATAAAAAAACCAACAAATATGTAACTAATGGAAAAAAAATAAAAAGGCAAAACATTTGAACCATTGGAATTTGAACATATAATACATATAGCAATGAATTTAAACAGCGTTCCCCAGATACTGATTAAAACATAATGAGACACAACGAAAACTGATTACAGAGATGTAGATTGAATAATCACGATACAGTGTCATAGTTTAATCAAGTATGGTGACGCACTCAACACTGGGTAGTTTATATAATCCTCTATTCTCACAGGAATGTGCGACATACTGACAAACCCCGTCACTATTAGACCCTCACACAATGTCCTCGTTGAAGAAATCAATGACTTTACAGGAACCCACGCGACGAACCACGTCCGTTCTCTGTTATTACATATGTAAATTAATCACATACATAATAGGTTTGATTCTAATTACCTGTTAGGTATGTAGGTGTCAGCAGATGCTGCCCCCCTCTCAATGACGGATACGGGAGGGGTGAAAGATGGTGACTGGAGTAATTAATACATTCAGTTTCTTCAACAGTAATCCATGTCTAAGTACAAGTAGTACATTTGATTTTGGGCAGAAAAAACACATCAACATTTACAGCAGAGAAAAGAAATCTGGTTTAAAAATCGAATTTAACTGATTCCAATTTCCCTTATCATTAATTTAAACTATTTAAAAAAAAGTATTTGTTTGTTTTATTTGAATTTATGAAATGTTGGGTGAATTTATATTTATCTTTTATATTTACGTTTTATATTGGGAATGAATTAGACGTCCACTTTATGTGGATATGTCTGCTTTGACGTCGTGTTCTATCGCTGATATTAAACTAACGGTACTTTAATGTCTTTAACACTCGCCACGAATATACAACTATACCCGTGGAAAGATCTACATAATTATTCCGTTATAATTCTCTGTTTCAGAAAACAAATAGATTGTTTTCTCTTCCATACAATCCATTAAATGGTTCTCATATGATTTATAGATGCTTAACTTTCTTTGGTTAATGAGATTTATATCAAAATATGAACATTTCAAGTTATGGTGATCGGTTTATGGTAATCTGTTTCATTTTAGTATCATCCATTTGGATTTGATTGTAGGACAAAAATGGTAATTTAGATTGTGACTAGTACAATCACGAGTTAATGAAATTATATCGTCTTCGACGATTAGACACCGAGGAAAAACAGTTTTACGAGTAGAAACAACAGATAATGAGAAAGTATTACTATGGCTAGAGGCAAGTCCTGATTATAGTGCTTTGTTCATTTCATACAGTTGTCCATTGTAAATACTGATATTGGCTTCAAAGATTAAATGGAAATTAAAAAGTAAGTTTTGTTAGGCTTTATTAATATTATACCCGTTAGACAGATTTTAATCATAATAATAAAACACACAATTCTTAATTGTGGAGTATTTGAAAAATAAGTTTTTTATCAATAAAAAAAAAATCTTAACGTTCATAAAAATTCATTGATCATTATGTGTAGTGTCCACACTAATCTATATGTAATGTGGCATTAAACTGAACAAATAAATCGGGATGTTAGTGAGTCTTTATGGTACCATTTCCTTCTTTCCTTCAAGACAGGGGACATGTTTGAAAATATTAACACTAGGTTTTGATATATATACGATTGAGATAAAGTGCATATTTACATTTAATCATTTTCACGTTATCTTGAGTATTAATTCGGTGCAGTTCACATAATGCTTGAAGATCTTGTTTATTTTTTTTTAGAATTTACGATTTCAAATCGATATGAAAAACCTCTTGTGTAGTTAGCGCTTTTTTATCATATATTTCTGAACGAACGCCGACGATTTTTCGTCTTCTGTTAACGTTAACAAAACTGGTACTTTAGAAAATATTTCTTTTCATTATAGTTGCACAGAAAGTCGTGGGAGCCCTTGTATGTGTCTCTATTTTGTTTGATCGTTTTTCGTTACAGACACAAACAAATTAAGTGATTAAGATTTTCAATCATACACGGGTTCGTTATGGTACGCTTTCGCTTGTACGCTTGTCGCCAAAACTTATTCCATGGTCACATGAGAGAAATATTAAACTGTCTTGAACCACAGATAAATATGCCTGACCTATGTCTTGCGAAGTGACAAAATGATTTAAAGCTTTAGGTGTACAATTCCTGAAAGGTTTAGTTTCAAAATGTTTCAACTTTATTACTTGTTAATGTCATGTATATCAATTGGTTTCCATATTACACACATTCAAATGCGTTCATTAATCATGTTGAAACGTTCATTTGATATCGGTTTTATGTGTTAGCGCCGCATATCCGTTGTTAGTCGTACGTTACCATTTAAAATAACATTTGAGTATGCGCGCCCACTGTCTTATTCTTCTTCTTCTTGTAACACACATTTAATTATAATTTAAATATAGATAATTGCAAGATTGTTTCGGGTGATCCTGGCCCAGTCAGGCTTGTTAGGAGTATCGTTACCTCACGCGACCCAAACAGCAATGGTATCTCTCCAAAGAAGCGCTGCCAAGTCGAAGCAGTTCGGAGAATTTGAAGACCCCCCAACACTCTACCTTTCGGCATTACTCGGCGCTGTCATCCTGGCAACCAGTCCGGGTAGTCTTTCAATTCAGATATGTGTGTGTGTGTTTGTGTGTGTGTGTTTGTGTGTGTGTTTGTTTGTTTGTGCGTGTGTGTGTGTTTGTTTGTTTGTTTGTGTGTGTGTGTGTGTGTGTGTGTGTGTGTGTGTGTGTGTGTGTGTGTGTGTGTGTGTGTGTGTGTGTGTGTGTGTGTGTGTGTGTGTGTGTGTGTGTGTGTGTGTGTGTGCCGAACCTAAGGCACCAAGAACAATGGATAGACGAAGAATTTTATTTAGCAAGCGACGTCTGCATATTTGCCATGTTTTTCCTGAACCTTGTCAGTGATATAAGTGTCCAAAGGGATAGATAATTCAATGATAACATTCATTCAGTGGATATATTTTAAAAAATCCCTTAACACTCTCTACATATGGCGATTCTACCATGGATGGAATTAGAACCACTAGCATGGCGAAAACGGCAATAAATGGAACCAAGCTATGTCCTCAAGATCCCTTGTCTAAGATACTGTGTTTTTGTTCCAAGGCTGGGTATCCATTAGAGTATTTTTATTTACAAATTTAAATATACAAATGCAGCAAAAGTGTTCCGGTAATCTTGCACTGTCAGGCTGGCTAGGCTCATCATCAATTCAGGGCCAAGGAGTCCTATACACGCGAATCTGACTGCAGACGCTGTCGAAGCGAACCGATCAAGAAATGTTCAGGCTCCAATTGTGGGTGCCCGCCTTGATATTAAAGGAATATTGAAACTCACCGTTTGAAATTGAAGAATGAGCGTAAATTGAAAAAAGCCTCTCACAAACGTGTTTCCACATGGCGATACAAATAAAGAGTATTGTACTGTACAAAAATTACACAAGGCGCTTACATATTGGCACGTTTAGTCATTAGATGGAATCAGATATCTGAACTTTTTTCAGCAGGTCTTGCTGCTATTTTAATCACTTTCTGTGTGATGTTCAAACTGAAGACCACACATGCCATTTAACAAAGAGCCTTAGTTTGTAATCCAATAGGTTTTCTCATTTTGCCAAGCCTAGTGTTAGAGTCTGTATCCCTTCGATGCCAACCCAATGCTACTGAAAGCTCTGGCAACAACATATAAGGTTTGAAACGTGCACCTTTTTAATTTATAAACGTTAACACTGAGTTTACATTCAGTCGGATATTGGAGCCATGTTAAACCCCTGATGTAGATATATTAAAATGTGCCCATTGCTTGAGAGAGATATGAGGTAATGGCCTGTATGTCTTCGTGTTCAAATCATTAAAGTATTGTGTTTACTTTTAATTCTAGACGTGTCAGATAATCTGCTAGAACGTATGTCACACACAACGTTAGGGTTATTGGAAAAGGGCAATAGTATTCAGGCAGACAGAAATACTGGAATCGATATATTTTGAGAGATACTTATTCCAAAGGTTACAGTGACACAGCTTTTCAGATTGAACAATTCAGCATGGAGACATAAACGCACTTAAATTTGTAAAGACATGTAAATGTGAAAAACAAGACCTTTCTAACATAATATCC